TGCACAAATTATTAGAAAAATTCAGACTAGAAGATCAAGAAGTCATAAAAATGATAATAATTGCATCTTGCATTCGTGGCATCACTTGTATACTGAAGAAAAATTTGTTTCTGAAGTGAGCATCAAAATAATTATTGGAAAATCAAAGTCATAAGTTTAACATGCTTGGTGTAGCTAGCGACAGCAGTACCTAAACGTCTCAAAAAAATTTAAAGAGGTGTATTCCGATTTATATCCTTGAACAGTAGTCAAAAATAGAGAACTAGTTACAACTAGAATGAACACTGTATTGATAGACAAGTTGTATTGATGTTTAGTACAGCTGTATTGCTTATTGAAAGGAGGAAACAACGTAAGATTTGTACTAACTTGAAAAATATATTTAGGTACATTTGAAATAATTGGAAACTTCGTCTAATCGTGAACATGAGTAGTATCTTCAAGCTTTAAAAAAGTGGTTTATTTACTGGTAAATTTTACAGAGGAAAGAATTTCAGTCATACAAATACTGGAAAGGATTTATCGTCTACTTACTGTTGTGACGTGTCAATGAAATTATTACTGCTTGCCTCGCCAACGGTTTGTATATACCTGGATTATAACAAGACGTGTAAGCGAACAATATTGTTTTCAATTAGACCTCGTCAGGCTTCACTCTAATATACATAACTTTCAACATATTTGTAAAATATCAACCAATTAAGGTAATTTGTGGGACAACGACAACAAGGAATACGGACTGTAAAAAAGGCTAGTACGAATTTCCATAATGATGTGACAATGTACAAAGATAATTTGATTGGTTGTGGCTAGCAGAAGAATCCAGGACGCGCGTTTCGTCCTATTTTGGGCTCGTCAACCGGATGTACTTGCACCCCAGTAAGTGATGTTGTTCCCACTGAGACTCTAACCTCGTACCTGTTGCTTCAAACGCCAAGGCGTTATCCGCTGTACAAAAAGGTGTTCGGACAGATAGACAGACAATGTAAGTCAAAGACTGAAAAGCAAAAAAGGACAATAGGGGAGTGTAATACTGGAGGTTGAAAACGGTGAATAAATATGAGCTGAATGTGAATATAGTAGTGGTATGAAATGGGTGAAAAACTGAAATATAAAGATGTACATTTTAAAATTCATAAGTAAAGTAATTTATTGGGTTCATCCTCTCCAAGGCAGGGATAAAGGCTGTACGAATTCCCTCTGGATATAGAGCTTTGGATTGCTTATTCAAATTCCCATAGACTCAGCTATATACAAGGTGGATTCAAACTCCATTAAAAAGGTTCGATGGAATGCGGTAAATCACTTTGGACGCTTTCGTCTTATCTACTCGGTGGTCACTGTCAACTGGATACGATAAAATAGAGCTTCTTATAGATTTAACCTGCCCTTTACCCAGACAGGAATATAAGTGTTCGGTAATCGGTTGGTTAAGTTGCCTAGTCGCACACCCGATATAACTGTCTCCACAGGAGCAATTTAACTGGTAAATACATATGAAAGTGCCAAAACTAGGTAACTTGTCTTTCGTCTGACACGAAACAAACCTTCGACTAAAACATAATAGGAAGAGGTTAGCTGCATAAAAAGTTCCTTCAGTGGTTGTCGATAGTCTGTGGAATATAATTTCACTAAGTATGTCCCCAATAAATTGTATCTTTATGAATAGTGGGTTTTTCCTAGCGATTTCTCCAGGTAGGAATTCTTGCAATGATATTCTGGTACCTGATTTTTGAATGTAGTTATTTTGTAAACATACATGTTAAAACTCAGCAGGCTAACAGTTGGACCGAAAGTCTCTGGTTGATCATGAGAAGTCAGAAGTTTTCAAGTCATGATAACGCATGACAGTACGTAGAATCGTTTAGGTCATTAGTTATTTTTTGAAGTGGGTCCAGCTTGCACGCAATTTGGTGTTTCACTTGCGAGACTGTGAAAGATATTTAATCCCACCTTATTAAGTTACTTGTCAGATAGAGTATCATTTCTGTTATGATTATCAAACGCCTTTCAATCTTGACCTTTATTCATATGAATTATGAACCTCGAATTATAAAAGTGATTCATTGCTTCAATATAACTTAATAGTTGTCTAAAATTCCTGAAAACATTTATCATTAGAACAATAACTTTCAAAAGTGCTTTCAAAGACATTCAGTTTAAATGTGTGTATTGTGCAAAAAAATCACAGTGAATTGCTATGAAAATAGTAAATGTGAATTTCAACTCTCTTCCAACTAACCAAGCTGCATATTATTACTTAAAATATTTCCATGCAAAAAATGCAAATGTCGGTGTAAACACAGTGACCAGGACAATCTTCAAAATACTGATTTAGAAAACAGTTTATCATAGGTTTGACCACAAAGGTGTGAAAATTATTAATTTGCATGCTGAAAATAGAATTTCACCTTAAAATATTTTTATTGAAAAGTCTCAAAGAATGTGAACCTTCAATGCAATACTCCTCTTTATTCAAAATCTCATGTGACATTTAATACACAACATGTGTTTAAGTTAATTAGCTGAGTACACTAATGAAATGTTTTTGAAAAAACAGCAATTATGAATATACTTAAATGAATACATAGAAGAAGATCAGCAAATATCTATTAAACATGAATCAGAGGTGAAACCAACGTTATAAGTACATTTTTGTTGAATAAAGTACTATGAGGAAGTCTGTGTACTTCTGAGTCCAGACAGTGACTATGCCAAAGTGTGGATAATATGCATAATATGAAAGCATTAAATTTCATCATTGTGTGCAAGGTTATAAGTCTCACCTTTTGACTGAAGGTAAGATTATCTAGTCACTCAAATTTAAGCTGCCGGGACAACATCCAAATAATTTGTTTTTCAGATGACACAGATAATTATGACTCAGGAGGATGATTTTGATTGCATTGTATTCTTTCAGCTTGCAGGTTCTGTCGTGAAGTTTTCATTGTCGTTCACAAGAAACACAAAGAAGGAGAAATTTCATGTCGTTTGGAAATACACTACTGATTAGAGGCTTTTGATTAGGACATTAGGAAGTCATTGGCGATTGACTTGAATCGATTTATCTCAGAAAGTAAAACTACTCACACCATCTCAAAGTTGACTAACTAGACAAGTTGCTCAATATTATCTAGAATGAGAGCAAGTATTTAGAAGACTAGAGGCTTTTTCTGGGAACGATACATATAAGTTTAACTCAGTCGAATGCTTTTCGAGAAAAATCCTACTGAGTTCTCATAATAACGTCAAACTTAGTTAAGCTATTCTCATTACTGGGGAAAATACTGTAGTTGCATTTGTTCTAAGAAAAATAGGTCATCACTGATTCTGTAAAATATCAATATATAGTTGGTAGTTGAGGAGAAAACAAAAGAATGACTTAAATATCAAAGACTGGTGGTAAACGTCTGTAAAATAATGCTGAAAGCACTAGAGCACAGGTGATCATGTATATTTGAGTACTACTTACCAAGGCCACGTAAGGAATATATAGCCGTAAAAGTTTGAACAAGTGATCCGTAAATCTATTTACTGTTCTGAAAGTTTTCGAGATATATGTCAGGTGCACCTTACCTATCAGGTGTTCTCTGATAGCACAAGATACAGTTCTTCGGACAATTACATTTCCCAGTGATGATTAGTAGTAGCTGGAAGTGGAATCTAGGACATCCGTTTCGTCTCATTCAGGATTCACCAGCTGGGTGTACCTGACTCTCTGTGGGTGATATTCTTTCAACTAAAACTCAGTTTCAAACCCAGTCACGTCAGAAGTAAGTGCAGTATCCACTGGGCCACGGAAACAGGATAACCACTCCATGTATTAAAAGTGAAGCGCTTTATGTTATTACATCCGATTACTCGTCGCTGATTGGACAAGCTGAGTAGCTACCATCAGCTTTAGTGCTCCTGTGCGAATGTCCCGATACTGCCTGTATTTTTGTTTGATAATAACGATGAACATTGGCTTCCAGGTGCATCCAGCTAATGAGTTGCAAAAAGGAGGAAATAATCTTCTCGGATTCCATCACTGGCTAGTGTCCATCACTACTATCAAGCTGAAAATTACAAGCAATACCGAAGAATTTGCGCAAAAGCTTATGTGACAACAGAGACCTAACAAGCAAAAGCAAGAAAAGTCATATTTACCTGGAGAATAACTGCAGACTACAAAAATAAAAAGGATTCTTTATATTCATCAAAATTTTCATTGTCCTTGATCTATTTAAAATTTCTAGGTTAAATAACTGTCAGAATTTTTTGTCAGTATCACAAGAAATACATGTTGCATAACTACCTTTTTATCTGTAACTCAGAACCCATACAATAATCAAAAGTAGTTCGAAACTATTTTCAGTAATACATTTTGTTTTAAAAACTTGAAGCAGATGAAACTGCATAGGAAAGCGATCAAAAATGGGGAAAATAGCTGTTAGGTAGCAGTGATATAGTCAAAGTTAAACTGAACGTAGTAAAGTTCCAGATTTCACTGAATATACATACAATTCATACTTTTCAAAAACTCTGACAATCCTTTAATGCTTTCGACTCGTAAACGAAAAAGTAGGAATTTATAGTCAAGCTTATTCGAAGAATATTCATCTACACATACACTGCATACGTGCTCTGAAAAACCGCGGAGTAACGCTATAAATACAAGTTCTTCTCATGAGACCACTGTTTGTTTGTACTCTATTAGAAAATGAGGAGATTTTTTTCGGAAATTGATGATAACTTAGGTTAGAAAATTCATAATACTCGAAAATTTCTCCATTTTATTAGCTTTATAAACACATAAATACTAGTAATCCTAATTTAACAAAACCTTTTCATTTTTCATTACTTAGTAAAAGTCGGATGCAAGTGTCAGAATTTGAGCAGTAAGACAGCAGTATAGTGACTGTTTGAGCGAAAAACTAACACATATTTCATGTTCACGACCACAAAATATGAATTTTTTAGGTAAAATCACCAGAAATTGTATTACAAGTCAAACTTACCGGAAATTACTGCATGGATGTATAATCCATTTGCCTTGTTCACGTTGTCGACGCTTTTCACATGCTAGTGCAACTTTATTACCAAACAACTTAAGCGCTAGTTTATTATCTGATGGTTGAAAAAATGATATAAATTGTTCTTTAAGATTGTACATAGACCATGCTCGATCACGTAAAGTGCCTTGATTATTATTATTACTATTATTATTATCATTACTATTATTGATAACAGTACTGCGGCAAAGGGGCTGATAATGTGAATTTATTCTTTCCAATGTCAGTGGTTCCCGAATTTCTTCTAAGATAGAATTGTCTCCGCCAATACCTATACACGATGCTGCTTCTTTCAGTTCTTGACTTTTAAACTCATTTTTACCCTCTGCAAGGTTGATGGTGTATCGTCTGACGTTTGACTGACGTGATGTGTCTGGTAGATTTGCTGATGCACAGGGTTTGCCTGCTGATCTGTTGCTACCATTTGTATTGGAAGTGAGTGAAAATAAGTTATTTAGTAATCCTACTGAGTGATATCGAAACCGCAGTTTATTATTTGGCTTTCTAATAATACCGCGAATATTCCTTTCGACTGGGAAAGTTTTGAGAAAGGCCTCTTTAGTTGGTATTACATTCTGATGTTCTTCACTATGGTCATTTCCTTGTTCTTCAGAGCCTTTTATCTCGAGATCTTGGCCGTGCAGCTTGTCGTCTTTTTCTACTGTTTTTAAACTCCCAGACTTTAGGAAAGCTTTTCGACGGTGAGCTGTTGGCTACATCATTTTTCATGGTAGGTTGAAAACTTGGACGTTTTTTCGTTGTTTTTTTATCTGATAGTTCACTTGTTTTGCTTGATTTCTCAAGAGCAGCTAATTGACTGAACTGTTCGTGCATAATTTTTAAACATCCCGTTTTACTGAAACTTGATCAACGATGTTTCACATTTTAACTTCATTGCAATTATAGAGTGAATGGTATTTTTTTACTTTGTACAGTTGTTCTGTTTTACATTTAGTGAATAATCCTTAATTATCCATAGGTATTTAATACAATAAAAAAAAATATAATATTCACCTATTCCAAGGCTTGTTTTACTCCTACTTAACACAAAATACCGTCAAGAAGTTTCTAAAATAGATATTCCTTTATCTGAACGACTTTTATAATCTGAATGAGAAACATAGCACAACCAATCAGGCTTATTTACTTTTTAGTTAACTTCAGCCAATCAGATAATTTGAACTTTAAGTCTTCAAAATATCTTTATGAATTTTCTGTCATTGCCTTCTTGTTATATGTTTCATACATGATGTCCAACATTTGCTAAATTATTATCCGCATGAGAGATAATTGACCGAAAGTATTCCTTCTAAATATCACGCTCTCAATTACAATGAACATTATTCCGCAAAAAATCAAAGCACTTAGGTTAAGTAAAAGGCTTATTTACATTTAAAAATGTATGAACGACTTTATAAGCACATAGTGCTTCCATGGTGACATCTATAGGCTATGAAAGCATGTATAGCCCAGCTAACAGATACTTTTAATGCACGCAGAAAAGATCTATGCTGTCGATAAAACTTGTACTCATACGTAAGCAAAGTGTCCGGTCGATTTCATTAGATATCTTCTAGTAGACAGAAGAAATGTAGGTCAGCAATAGGATCATATGATATGTAAAAGCCATTGGGTAGTATACAGGTAATCAATAGCAAAAATGAGTCGGCGAGATAACCTATTCTGTTCAGTTTAAGAATCAACGATTAGTTGTGTGAAATTCTTCTTGCTTCTAGACTTTTCCTTTCTTGTTCGAAGACTTTATTTCTAGGTAGGAGTTCTAAACATGTTAACTAATCAAATACGCTTACAATAACATTCACTTAGTGAGGCTCAAAATACTTAGTTATTTTTCTCAAAATAAAAAATGTCATCAAACCTGATTTCAATGAAGCTGAAAAAATGAATTCGACCTACATAGAGTCGTGAAGCCATGTTCAATGGACTTCAGAGAACTAGGTGAAATGGCGATGTGCTGCTGAAGCCTTATGTTTCACTAGGAACCCAGTGGATGTATAATAAAAAAGTAGGTGACGAGTCTATTCCGTATTTATTGAGCCTGAACAACAATCACTTAACTAATGACCTTCACATTATAACAATTTTATTTTTGCTTAGGATACACGTAAATACGAATATTTTACTAAAGAAATTTTGGCTTACACGAACAGTTGTTAAGAAGTTTCAGTTGTTCTCTAGATTATTTTACTAGAAGTATTTTCAGTTTTTAGACCTGTTCAAGATTACATTTTCTAACAACCCAGCTGATCTCAGTCTTCTGAATTAACCTGTGTTCTTGAACTCATGGTTATTGGACAATATTTTACACAATTAATAATTTCTCGAGTTGTTTTTTCCTTTTTGAAAATCTATAAAACATGTAGACCAGCTTCATTAACTCAAGCAGGATTCAAATCTCATGGTACATGAATGTACGAGGAGATACATTCAAAATTACCATTTAGAAGTTGAGAACCAACACCTTTCTTGTCCATGATCAAATATCAACGAAACTGATGCGGAGATCGGGAAGCTGAGTACTGAAACGCATCGACAGCAAACGGTCCCAACTCCTAAATAAAATATGAGATCCCATATTATCTGTTATTCCAATATAACTGCTGCTCGCATGCTGCTTACTTCAGCATCGATGCTGTTCTTTGTTCGTAATGTTTGTATTCTTGAGGAGAGTGAATTAATAAGATTTCTCTGTCTGCCTAAAGAATCTGCGACTTCGAAAATTGATAAACTTCCCGATCTAGATGGGCTTTCTGTAAACTGGCCTGTGAATTGAATTATCGTTTTTTCTCAGAGTTGGACATCAAAAAGTGGAATTTCAAGTTTGCCTCTGCTTCTAAAGAGCAGGTGAAAAAGAAGAAAAGTTTGAAGCAGGTTTTCTAGATCCATGTGAGAAGTGATCAATCTCAATATAAAAGAATGCGAAAACCTCACTCTATCGACAGAAGTTCTCAAATGTAGTCACTCATCAATCAACAAATTACCGGTGTGCATGAATCACCTTCAAGATTTTGACAAATATTATAAACCATCATAATAAATGCAAGTGATATGAAAATATATCATCGCTGCTTTGACGGAATCTTATACAGATACCTGTCGAAATTGACTAAACGTCCTCAGAAAAGCAGTTTGTTTTGTTTAATGGTGATCAGCAGTAAAATCCCTGACACACGTTTTACCCCATTTAGGACTTGTTAACTGGATTTGCCTCAACCTTAATGAGTGATATTATCCCCAGCTGGGACTCGAACCCAATGCCCATCACTTCAAAAGCCTAAGTAGGAGAGTCACCTCTTGTGAAACAGATATAAGTTATTACCATTTGTAATTTCCAGTTGTTTATTTTGGCAAGTTACAATGTAATCAATAATCAAGCGATATTGAGGCCCCTTATAGGCACCCTTATATGTTAACTGAGGCCGACCAGTTTGATCAAGAATAACAACGAGAAATAAATAATAATGTGCATATATATGATAAATAATAGTGCTCAACACTTTTTGAAATCATCAGGCATTCCAAAACAGACCTTACGAGCCAGCGGAACAAAAACAAATCTAACCACAAGATACAAAAATGAAGATGCTCAAAAATGAAGTGTTTTGGAAAGCGTTTTGAGGGAAAAATAATGGGGTTACAAAATGATACTTAAAGTAATATTTGCCGAAATGAATTAGACTATCTTCTTCATATTTTGGTGGAATATAAAAGCATATCAGCATTATTCAATAAAACCACTGAGGCTAAACTGTCTGCATGACTGTGTATAAATTTCTCAGGTGATTACTACTATATTGCAGTCTGTAATGGTATCTGAGAGTATGTGAAAATAAATAACATACGGACTTGTTAGGCTGATTGTTAACTGAGCTCAGAGTGGAATTACACTGGTAGCCTAGTAATTATTATTCATCAGGCGGCAGAGTTTGACTTCACTTGGAGTTAATCTGTTGAATCTGACTAATGTCAACTATAAATTAATGTAGCGGAAATAGAAGAAGGAAATACTTTACAGTGTAAAAAATTATTCATAATTTATAAACCACTACTTTAGAAAACTACAGTTTATCAGTAAATTCTTCCACTACCTCTTAAATTGATTCATATGTCGAATGTACAGCAGGAAAAAGATTTATCCTCTCCACAAGGATAGTAATGTATTGTTCTTTAGGGTTAAACTTTTGCGCAGAGAAAGGCTTGTTGGTTGAATACTCTACTGAGCGAGCATGAAATCTAGTGTCAACCAAAAATCTGCATCCAGATTTCATGTGATCAAGTAATCTTTCAAAAATCTTAATCAAATGAGTCAGATGGGATTGTATGTTGTTTTTTAGACAATTTAAAGTATGATCTATTACCTGTGGCCAGGTCTGTGAAATCTAAAAAGTCTTTAAGCCAGTAAAAATTGGCTAGTCTTGTAAAACGCAGTACTTCAACTGTTCGTTGAGCACAAAGCGTCCATTCATTATCTTGGAGAGTTTCTTATCTTGGTGAAAACACTGCATGTTTAGAAGTAATCAGTCCCTTGTAAATTCAGAGTATTGAGAAGGCGAAGAAGATTATCTGAAACATGTGCGATGTTTTTAGCGCCATGCATTTCGAACAACCCGATTACACATAACCTTGTATTTATATGAAAGTTTACGAAGAAAGTCAATTGTTTTGAAAGTAAAAACAAAATCCTTACAAAACCACTCTTTGTATGGATTGTTAAATAAATGCACTATCAGGGTAGGCTGTGAGTGAAAATTGTTCTTGTACACATAAACGGAGTTCCGCTCTTCTTACAATTTCTCTTGACTTTGTCGACCTTTTAAATGGTACGAAAACTTTATTCATAATCATATAGACCAAAACGTTTAACAATAGCACGAAACTGAACGCTTTTGTTCAACTGAGAGTGAAGCTTCTCTCTGATGTATCTCATAATATCAAGACTGACTACCTACCTAGTCGACGCAACATCAAGAGTGAAATTCAATTCATCAGTTTTCGATTTAGTTGTGTGAGCATCTTTCATTTTAGTAATGCATAAAGTCTCTGTGCTCCCTCTTTTAGTGGATAAATTTCAACTCATTTGGCAGATCTATGCAACACTTTGGTCTTATCATTTGAAAACGTTACCATATTACATCAGAATAGTTCGTTGAACACAGAAAATCCACTTGACTGGATGACTTCTGAGTATAGCTATCTACTCTGACACTTGGCTCCGATAGTTACTATTTTTTTAATCTTACCATAAAATGCATAACCGACTTTTATTTGGTTTGTATGTATCAGCTAAAAATATGATGTAAGTTTTGATATATATAACCTAGAAAACAATGAAACTGTAAAAGAATGATGGCCTGAGTTTGAAATAACTTGTGACTGATAGTAAAACTGAAACCACTGGGTCAGGTCATTTTCTTAGATGAGAACCAGTTTTTGATGTTGATTGCATGATAAACACTTTAATCAGTAATGTAGAATGTTTCACCCCAACATTAGATCAGGCTGACACAACAACAGAAAATATTGTGAATTGTGAGAATTCATGTTAAAGTCTCAAATGGCATAACAAACTTCGAATATATATATATATATATATATATATATATATATATATGCATTAGCTTTAAACAATCTCAAGAGTAGTTTATCTACAAAATCCCAAGTCTCCTCTGGTTCTGACGTCCAGAACACCGTTTATTAAGGGCCACGGATCACAGCCACCACTACTCAAATAAAGGAATACCATACAACGTTATACAAAGTTTAATAATATTTTAGCAGTGAAGTAATCAAAACAGCATGAATGAAAATTATTCACTAAAACAGTTGGTTATGGTAAACATTAAAATTTATTATTGCCGTCCTCATACTGAATATTAAAAGTTCAAGACTAATGATCATCTGATGATGAATTTGGAGCCATTCGTGTACACTTCTGGAACCACAACTCCATATACAATGACTCCATAGAAAATTAGTTACAACCTATACTGAGGAATTGTTTTATGCATTCACTTTTAATGAGTGATCTAAATTCAGTGCCTTAAGACTGCTGATGTTTTTTTGTCAAGTCTACTTCTGCGTTACAGTGAAGTTCGGCCGGAATTCCCATCAGTGTCATGAATCCACAGGAGTGAATCAATTATTAAAAGGTAACCAGCTTTGTAGTAACTTTGAATATTGTCTGCTAGCATTT